CAGGAATGATGCTGAATTTTTCAGAAATGTGAATAATTTTTGTGCTTTTTAATGTAAAATTTTTTTGGTGTGCAGTCTTTTATTTTAAATAACAAGTTTTCTGCGAAATGAGAGAACCGAACTCTCTAAGGAGTCATTTTCCTTTATTCGCTGCAAAGGCCCTTCACTTGATGACAGCTTTTTGTTATTAGCAGGGATGGGCCAATGCTTTGTTCAGCTGTTTATTCATTTGGTTAGCAATTTCCAGGAAATAAAAAAATCTGAATTAAAAGAATGTAGCACATGCTAGAAAAATGACTTCCTCAGCATCTCCCTATTTTGCTGTAATGCTTTTCTGTAGTGGAAAATATTGCTAGTAGGGTGTCTGAAAAATACTTGCTTAGGGAAGTTAGTGTATACATTTAAGTAGATGGCTATTGCTGTAGTTCTCCTCTGCTGCACCTGCGTTTTCCCATTCCCTCCAAACCATCAATTTCCAAATGGAAGAAATCACCTAATCTTTTTCCATATTACTGAAGCTGTAAAATGTCACCCAGTTACCTCTGTACTGAACCCAAATATTTCCATTAGACTGTGTAGGTATTTTCTAGTAATGGAGATAACCTTGGACCATCAAGATGTGAGAATTCACCACATCCCTTGCTTGTTGCTTATCATAGGTTAATCACAAAAAACAGTAGAAATATTACATGGTACATAGTCATGTGTTTTCAATCTTCGAACCCTCAGTTCTTCCTGTGTGCCTCTCCGATCTGGTAAGATTGCGATTACCTGTCAAAATCTTTCTCCTCCACGAGTGATTTTGATCATGGTACAGAGGCACAGAATTAAATAATGTTCCCTGTGAACTATTAGAGAAATTAGCCTGTACTGATGAGGCACCGAGACGAGCAAATGCTCTATTTTCCTTATTCGTCCATTTAAGCTTGCACTTGATTAATTAGGAACTTGCTCCCAAACCTTTCTCTAGGCACTAGAGACAATCAAGTGTACCCATGCACGAGTTAATCATCCCGATGCTTTGGGAATTGTTTCCAGGTTACGAATCAATCATCAGCAATCATTTCTACAGCTTCACCCCTGCCAGGAATCATTTTAAAACTCTCAGCAAATAGCTGAAATAATTCTGTGGGAATCAATACTTCTGAAACACCATTTGGTCGCTCATTGGTGCTACTGGCATCTTTTTATCCCAAGCATGAAGAGGAAGGTGCCAAGAGGGACATGGTACTCAGGGACTTCCTTCCATCCCGATGTTCACCAACATGACATGCTAGTACTTGGGGAAGCTTCCGGTGGTCTCTCTACTAGTCTGTCTGGTGACAATATTCAAGAGATTTTATCTTGTGGGTTCATATTCCTGTCACTACTGTAGCTGCATACGATACTTCTCTGGCTTCCTCATGCTAATTTCAGTATCTTTTATGCCATATGTTGCTATAATAATGCAGAATCATTGAGCTGCTGCACAAAAACCTGAGTTTGAAGTGTGGGGTGGGGGGGAGGGAGGGAGGGATGAGAAATGGCTCTGCTTTATCTGCTTGAAAATTCAATGATTTCAACACATTTATCAAATTTTAAATAATTTATGTCTTGACAGGCCTTATCAATTTTGCAAAGCATACACATTAACCAGATACAATGATATCATATTAGCTTTTTCAGCATCTTACACTGGAGCCCAGAAAGATTAATAAAAACTCAGACCGCCATCAATTAAATGGAAAAAACATAAAATTGTGTTCCATTATAGCCTTTTCTTGCAAGAAAATGGTGACAGGTTCTAATAATTCATCACAACAAGCTGAGCTTGAACTTTCCTGATTATTAAATATGTTTTTCCCAAAGGCAGAGGCCGTGATAGGTTTTATAGTAGCAGATGTGCTGTCAGGAATGCTTAAAGGAAATTAGGAATTAAGCAACATCTGCCTTTAGCGAGACTATATAGAAAAGCCATATTTGTTCCATCTAGTCACAGACGTATTTTTTGGAATGTTATAAGCCTATGTGCTTTCCTAATCGCAAGGGTCATTTAACTCTCATTTACCACTGCTGCTTTTGTTAGGAATGAAAGCTTTGAATTAACAACTTAAGTTACCATGCAGGAAAAGTCTTGAGGATGGTAGCCCACGGTAATGCTCACGTGTTCTCTGGGAAAATTTTGAGTTTTGATCCCTCTCAAAAATTCTTCTGGGAGGCTTTTTGATTTCCATTGAGAAAACAAAATAAAATAATATGCAGGTCAGCCTGCATCAAAAAAGAGCGGTGTCTGCTCTACACTGAATCTAAAATGTTTCTTTTCCAGACAGGTCAGGTGCAAGTGTGAATTAGCCCACTTGAGCTGGAGTAAGTGACAGTCGAGGATGTATACAGTTTCACAGGGAATATGTAACATCCTGCCAGGATTTGGGGCCTGTGCTTGCCTCAAAAGCTGTATTTGAAGTTGGATTATAGAGGAGTTAATATAAGCTACTTATTAGAAATTGTTTTTGTAAGTTCAAAAGTGTGTGACTATCTGAGGTTTATGTGCCTCTCATACTTGGAAAATAACAAGAGAGCTCCAAAGAAGTACAGCTGAGTCCTGTGTCTTATTTCAGTTGTGAAGAAAGCATAAAAATATTTGAGATGGGGGGGGCAGCTAACACAAGGCCACAAAGTTGAACGCTTGCTTGACTCTCGGAGCGGAAAGTGCTTTGTCGTGGTTTCGGAGGAGTCGCTGGGCGCCCCGAGGTGCTCAGGATGACCGTCCCTTGCAGGTGGGTGGCTGCCTGCTGGGTGCTCCAGCTCCCGTTAACTGCTGCCTGGCAGCCAAGTCCAGTCTGCAGCGAGCCCTTGGGCCGTCCTGAGCCTCTGAATACTGGGCTGGCGGAAAGGAACAGAACAAACAGGGAGGTACTTTCGTCAGAACTTAAAAAAAAATGGCAAAAATACATCTCTGTGGGAGATAAAGAGCAGCAACCTACATACAGCTCATGCTAGCTTTCTCCTTACCACAGCGCGCTTCCAGGGGATGCTTTAGCTGCTCGCAGTGGACCGATGAAGCGGTTTCCTACACTTTCTCCATCCTTCCCCACTGAGGCATCTCATGGCCTGTTTCCCCTGTGGTTCATGCTTTAGGGAGACCAAACTCCTTGCTGTGTCTGACAGGCACGAAAAGCAGAGTGCGCTGGGGCAGCCTTTCTTTCTACCTCCTAAACACATCCAGAAGTATAGAAGTGCCAAAGTAGGGTTTTTTTTTTTTTTTGCTTTGTTTTAGGGTTTTTTTTGGCTCGTTCTGTATTCTGTAGAGGGGCCGTGGCAATGTTGGAGCACCAAAGGAAAGGCAGCTTGGAGATGGTAGCCTGAACCATGATGCTAAACACAAGAGGTGGTGGGCAGCCAGGAGGACCATGAAGGCAGTGGCCACTTCTAAAGGAAATAACACACGGGGATAAAAGTGAAGGTGCCAACGTGCTGCCATCTCTCACTGCGCCCTTCCCTCAGCAATATGGACCTCCAGCTGACGTCTGGCCCAAACTCCAGGACCCAAGCGCTGAGCTGCTCGAGGAGGGAGAGGCTCTGCTGCTGCCGATGGGGAAGCCGCTTGCAGTGGGTGCCTGTGAGCGTGCTGCTCCTGCCTCACCTTCATTTCCCTTCATGTCCTACACAGTTTTGGAAGTAGCGTTTGGAGTTCGCAACCATAAAGACAGAAGACCTGCAAATAATATATTGGCAAACCTACGACCTGAATAAAGAGCCTGTCTGTTTAGCTTGATTAGCTGCGTAACAATTTTGTTACAATTTGTCAAAAGCTGCAAATTCATTATTTCTGCATGTAAATGAAGAGACTGCACACAAATTGCTGTCACAATTTACCCGTGCTAATGGGGGGGGGGGGGTGGATGTTCAAAAGAGAGGCTGAAACTTGTAGCGTTGGACGCCCTTGCTCTCCAGACTGAGGGGCACCCAATGCACTTTCCCGGGCTTGGACAACTTTCCCCTGTCTTTTCTGTTCCCCTGCTAAATCATAAATAAATAAATACCAACTAGCTGTTGTGACTGCCTTCCTCTCCTTTGGGGGATGACCAAAGTGTTGAGATACTCTCCTGCAAAGTTAAAATCAAGTCAGAAATTTGGAGTTCATCTGCCTGATTAGCTGTCTCATTTACCAAAATGGATCATAAGAAGAGACTCTAGGGTTTACCGTGCTGACTTTAGCAAAGAAAGATATCTCACATGGCGGGAGAGCGCTGCAAAGCAGGGTGTGGATGTGCCAAAGCGCTGAGCCTCCACCCCTGGAGCTGGCCTGCGGCAGAGCCCGCGGTACCCACGCTTCTCGGCATCACCCCCGTCGCGTTAGGGGCTGGCAGTTCTGAAAGTTTTAAAGGATCCCACAGCTAGTGCTACTTTCTTTCACTAATGAAAGGTGGCCAGAAATCCCCTGTTCAATAGCTTACATAATTGGATTGCTTTAACGATTTTGTCCTGTCTCCCGTAGTTGAAACTAAAATGACAAGCTGCTTCCGCACGAAAAAAAAAACAAAAA